GCTCTGTTTCCTCATGCAGACATATAAACACAAATAGAAGCAGTGTTATAATCGAGCTACATGTTCAAAACATGCAGACCAATTAGGATTAAAAAAAACCCAAACAAAACAAACAAAACAGTTCCCATCCTAAAGTAACCAAATTTGATGACTATAATTTTTCCACTTTTAACACATTGTAAATAAAATATCCATCAGTTTATGCTGCTATACACTGATCAGCTGCAATATTAAAACAATGGACAGGAGATGTGGATATCATTGAAGACTTCATTACAAGACAACATTTAAAATCTCTGGATTTTCCATGAAAGGTATCCCACTTTTCGTGGAAACTTGCACTGATGGTCGGCACCACCTTGCGCCAGCAGGACAGTGCACCCTGCCACAATGCAAAACAATGCTCGAGTACACATCAAGGAATATGACCAAGAGCCCAAGGCATTGACCCGATCTTCAAACTCCCTGCACTTAATCCCATCAAGCATCCATGTGTTCTGCTGCAACAAGCCCAAACCTTAGAAGTGTCATTTCAAGACACCCCAGAAGCCCAGCGTCCTCATCCTCACAGGCCAGGGATGTCTTAATATCACAAACAGGCGCACACGACTTCCCCTAGGTAGCTTTAATTTTGTAAGTATATAAATGAAGAGACTGTTCTATCATCAGAGATCTAATGCCAAAGTCTAACCACATAAAATCATTAATAAGTCCCAGAAATGATCCCGTCTGGTAGCAGTCAAATCATTTTTTCAGGTCTTTATGTTGAGTCATTCATTTCAAGGTCCTGGCTCCAACTTTTTGCCAGCTCACATCCATCCATCAGGCAAAGTAACTGTTCGTCCGTCAGGTCCGGAGACTCATTCTGCAAAAAAAAAAAAACCACCAACAGATGTAAGATTTCAGTGATGCTTGTGTGAATTTAGAGTTTCAAAATCAATTAAACAGACACAACAATATGTGTGTATTTGCAGATTCGTTCCACATGCAGGCCTACGGTGCGGATGTGTAGATATGTAACTGTTTCCAGGTCACGTCTGCCGAATATTATAAAAAGTGACCAACTGCTGACATCATTCCTGCATTTCTTCCAAACAAATTTTACTGGGTCTAACGCTTAGTTTCTGACAAGTCCAGACAAAGTGCTGTATTAATACATGACCTCACACAACAGTGGCACTTCATAATAATGTACTGCACCACTCTGCTTTGTTGGAAGGTGTGTGGGAAAAACACTTCCACTTGGATGCTAGTTTTGTTTTTCTACGCATAAGCCAGACTCCTCACAGGCAGCCTGGGACAGCGAGTGAGTTCAAGGATGAAAGAAAACTAGGTTATGAGGAAAAGGTCTTGAAAGTTAAATAAACGTCAAAATCTATTCCTGGGAATGACGCGTCATTTGGCGCTATATGCAAAGTCTGAATTCCTGGCGACCGTAACTAATTTACCTACGCACGCGTGCTCATAGACAAGCGCAAGTTCACGGTGTAAGGACTCTGTACTTTGTTTAAACAGCTGCAACTCAACAGTCAATTTGTTCCAATATTATCGACTCATTACCTTCCGTGACACGAGCACCGTGCCAAGAAAGTGTCAAGAAGAGACAAACGTTAAATCTCTGAGTTGAACAGAAATCGCTGTCATCATTCTCTCTGCGCTCGAGTTTTTAGCTGTCAGCCCTACGTGAAATGAATGTCCCTGGCCTTGAAGTAAGGATGCGATCCAGATATTCTGTCCCTAATCTCAATCACAGTCTTTAGTTAGTATTAACTGATCTTTCCCCCTCCTACTTTTGATCAGCAAAACAATACAACACTGACATTTTAGGGAGTAAGTGAACATGTTGTCCTCAAAGTTAGTGTGCTAGAAGCAGAAAAATGGGCAAGTGTGAGCATTTGAATGACTTTAACATGGACTAAATTGTGATGGTTAGACGGCATCTCCAAAACTGCAGCTCTTTGTAGGGTGGTCCGAGGAAGGAACCGTAGTGCCATGGGTGGCCAAGGCTCACTGATGAAGGCATAAGGTGCTCACATTGCCAAAAATGTAATACAGGCTCTGATAGAAAGAGTCCCAGACACATTACGACTGCCAAAACCCCCAATGCTTTGGACAAAGTCCATCTAGATGTTACTTTAACACAGACTACCTACCTAAGCAGACCATGTACACACTTTCATGGAAACCCTGATAGCTGTGGCCTCTTTCAGCAGGATCATACACCCTGCCACAGGGTGCACAACAATGAGTCTGTGGTGTTGATTTGGCCTCCAAATTCCCCAAATCTCAATCCAATTGAGCATCCGTGTGATGGGCTGGTAAAAGAAGCACAATCAATGGAGACCCCACCTTGCAACTTACAGGACTTAAAGTGCTAACATCTTGGTGCCAGATACCACAGCACACCTTCAGGGGTCTAGTGCAGTCCATGCCTCGACAGGTCAGGGCTGTTTTGGCAGCAAAAGGGGGACAAGCACAACATTATACAGGTGGTCATAATGCCTGACTGACGTCCAAAACAATAGATTTTAGAAACCAAAAGCAACAACAGTGACCTAAGAAGATATTAAGCAATGCAATTCTTTTCACCTCTTCCTCACACCGCACAGAGTAATTCCCGTGTCTCATCTAACCCCTTTAGCTAGTACTATTCACCGGTCATATGCTGACCTGACCACCCACTGAAACGCTCCACCCCATTGTCAGTGGGCTGACAAGACATTACCACACAATCCCGTCCATGTTCAAAGTCCTCCAGAATGTAATCAATTTAGGTCATGGCAGGTTGGGTGGTGTTACTCATCTTTACCCTCACAATTATCCAGACATGTCATCATTTACCAATAGACAGGAGCACACAGGCACCACAGACACAAACGCCCCACAGTGCCCCCCTGGAGCGGTTCATTATCTTGACCCTTCAACATTCATGTAGCTGTGGACTTGACCTCTGCTTCTACATGGCGCAAATGAAACAATAAAAGAGCAAGTTTGAAAAAAACAAACAAACAAAAAACGTAAATAAATATAGAGTATGCACAAAAATATAGAGTTTAAATAAATATCTATCCATTCTAGAGCCGCTTAGCTATTCTTTATATATATTCTTATGTAACAACTGACACCTCGGTCACAGAAAAAGTTTGTTAAGGAAAGGAGACGTACATTTTTCTGAACGTAAGTGAGTAATTCCTGCAACTTGAGACAAATGGCAGAAGAAAAAATTACAAGTCAATTAGAGGCTTGTCATTATTTTCTGTGTACATGAATGGGGCAATAAAAAGTGCCCCACTGGCTGGAGTCTTAATGGTCTGAAATGCCTCTAACTGATACCAGCCGTCTTGGAGATGGGAACAGGTTAGACTTTCCAACAGAGAGGAGAGGAAAGGAAAGAAGGAAGAAAGAATGTTCTTTCTACTGCTTTGACAAAATGCTACAACTCTTTAAAAGTGGTTGACCTCTGATGACCTCGGTACTTGAGGAGGCCAGGGGTGTCTGTGGTGACTGATATGTGCTTTCGTGCTGCTACACAACCATTTAAGGTCCTTCACACGGGTGTTCACTGTTCGTAGACTTAAATCACAGCTTTCTTGGCTCCTAATTCAAAGCACATTGTGCGCTATCGGTCCTGCGTGCTGCACAACAACATTGAATATTTAGTATTTACTGCTGTTTACACTTAGCTAGATTAATGCGATGGTGTTGTGTTTAATATGTTGCTTTGGGTTTTTTTTGCTTGTTTCTCTTCTTTTTCTCTCAACAGGTGATCCAGGAGATCCCCCCCCCCCTTTCTCACTGTCCCTCTTCTGTTTTTCTTTTCCTTCCTCTTTCTCTCTCCCTGTCCTATCCCTCACTCATGTCTGTCCCGTCTGTAACATCTGAAAATAAAATAAAATAAATAATAAAAACAAAGGTCGATCAAATGGACCAATACGGCAATGCCACGATGATCCATTTGGCAAAATAAATCCATTGGGTATCCTTGTTGGTCTTCAGACAACAATTCTGACGGCGAATGAACCAAATGGGACAGGCAAAAAAAAAAAAAGGTCCTTCATTTCTTCTTGGTGGAAGGTTTCGGTTTCCTAGCAGCAGGGAACACATGAATTTTGGTAAACAGCACAGAAAACTGCTGGGATTACAGGAAAGCTTTCCAAAGAAAATGTTTGATAAAATTGATTAAGGTGCTTCCAGGGAGCATCTCCTTGTTCCACTGGGTTATCAGTGAGACAGGAACAACAATGCTGGGCTTACATGACAGCTCATGAACGCAGAATTCACAATCCGAGCGATTCTGAAGGGAAGTGAATGAGTAAGCAGGAATAGATAAAAACTTTGTTTCTGGGTGGCTTTGGGTCGTGTACATACAAGCATCTCACATGCGCAATCTATAGTGAAGAGAAGAGCTGTGTATGCTGCAAAGCCTTAAGCTGGCAATCCCAACCATGGTTCTCTGTAATAAACATGTGAAATCCAAGGTGGAAGTGGAAAATCTTGAGTTTGTCAAGTTACAGGCCTTTGACAGTTTCTGTTTTATTGTCACTGGGGTCATTAAATAGTTTTTATTTTAAAGTGAATCCAGTTCTTCCACCAGCAAACAATGGCAAGGCGAGTGAACTTCTTGACCTGAAAGATCAGAACTCTCCGCCACTCTCAGAGCATGATCAGCTTTCCACAGGGAGATAAATCTGGCAAAGACAGAGATGTGGAGCCCTCCAGCTACATTCTGCAGAGGACTACCACCTCTACCACAGCTCATCCTGTGCTTCTGTACACACAGGATGCAAGACCAGGTTTGAGCACAAGTGTGGGCCGCTCAGCTTTCAGGGTCACCGACTTCAGTTGCATACCTGAGCTCTATAGTCCACAGACCCAGAAGTTACTCCTCCGGGAGAAAGACGAACTTAGAATGAATGGGAGTGCAATAACTTAATTATTGCACTCCCATTCTGCTATACAGTAACATAGCACCAACATTGTATATATGTCATGTCAAATAGCAGATAATATATATTTTAACATTTTTTTAAATGCATAGTAACTCTCCTAAATACCCAAAGAGCCTCTGCTTCAACTCTAACAGCCATATCAACATAAAATAGTCTTTGGTTTTAACTCTAAGAGCCATGTGTCAATTGTTTTGTTCATCCTAGTCTCCTTTGCAGAGCCTGAACAGAAGCAGAAGACGTTGCAGCAGCAAAAGGTTCAAATCTGACAGATTTAAAGCTGAGAGCTTTGGATTGCATACTTAACAATGACACTGTGTAATTGGGAAAAAAAGACTCTGGCTTTTCTTTACTGTATACTTCCATAGTTTGAATCACAGGTTAAAGTGCAGCGGTCAGGAGTGCTGACTGCCTGAGATGGCTAACGCTAGCTAGACAATGTTCCTATGTTTAATGTGGGACAAACATCTCTGTGCACATGAGAGCTGCTGCTAAAAGTATCTTTCAGTTTCTGAGCTTGCTAACATATTACATATCCTCCCAAATGACACATGTTGTAAAAGTTCAAAATTACTAGATCACCAATCATAACTTCAATATTTAGGAGGCTAGGCAGGCTCAGACGTGCCCCGTGTCATTAAACCTATATTGCATCCATATTTCAAACCGCGTCTGCCATGGTCTGTCCCGAGGCTTGAAGCTTAGGAGCTGTTTCCGCAAATATATCCAAAAACGGTGTCACCTCCTAAATTTGAATTTGTATATTTGAAGTTGAGTTATAGAGCATGTACAGGAGATAGGAGAGATCATAGTGACACTGAAAAACCTGAGACCAGTGGAGAAGAGACTTTTCTCAAATTGAGCCCTTTCCAAAGATCATACGGTGACAAAGCAGAGCCGATGAGGGAGATAAGCTAGCAGCTAACAGCCATCAGCTGTGGATGCAGTGAAGTGAGGAAAGTGGTGAAGCATGCATAGAGACAGATAATTGATTTTGAGATTCAGATCCAGATAAGTCAATTTTTTTTTTTAACCTAGACTGCTGTTCCGATAAATGCTAGAAATAATGAGGTAATAACAAACTGCTGTAAGTGAGGAAGTATGACTGATAGTGTTGGCCTGATTAAAACAAGACCGTTGGGCTGGAACTATCCTGTTTTACAGTAAATGCTGAGATGTCCTTCCTTTTGCTGTAGATTTAGGAAGGCAGCCAAAACGGGCTGCAGGAAAACGAGCACCAGATCAACTGTCGAGCATCACACAGTTTCTTCAGAAAAATAGGCTTGTTAATCTCGTCAAATCTGCTATTTTAAGATATCTTTGTTTTACTGTATTTCAAGCATGTTTAAATAAATAGCTACGAAAAACCTAATACTTCGCCTTCCTAACTTCTCCTTTAATCACACACTTGAATTTGGTCAAACTCAATAACAGGAATTCTTTAAAAAAGTGCTCTTAAGCAGTGGTTCACCAGACTCTCTGAAGTTTTTCTTTTCTTCTCTCATTTTCAGTCCAGTCCTTGTACCATTTTACTTTTTTTACATACATGTTTTTTAAGCCACTTAACACTGACATATGAATCACTCAAGCATAAAAAAGGCACTCGACCCAAGGGATGAACCACTGTTGTGTTTACACATAACAGAGAAACCCATTTGTATCTTTAGGCACTTTGTTACTAGCAACCTGTTGCAAAAGCATATCATTTGTTCTCCTTTCCTTAGTCGAGTCTATGAAAAATGCCAAAGATAACACAGTTCGACAGGCATAAAATAATATTTTTGCACCAACAAGGTAAGAAGCGTAGTGGTTGCCTCACAGCAAGAAGGTCAAAGCCTTTCTGTTTGGATTGCATGCTCTCCCCGTGTCTGTGTGGGCTCTCCCCAGGTTAGAGGAAGAGGTTAGTTGAGGTTAGAGGGGTTAGGTTAACTGGTGATTCCTTTGCTATAAATGTAAATGGTTGTCTGTTTCTGTGCTGGCCCTGTGAGAAATTGGCCACCTGTCCAGGATGTATGGCTGCTGGTTTAGACTCCAGTCTCACCCACAACCCTGAATTGGATAAGCAGAAGAAAACAGATGGATGTATGGATGGATAGATTTCTTCTTATCACATTTTTAATCCAATAGAAAACTACACAGAAACACTGCATAGCTAGCAGACAGTCGGTGTAACTGGAAATACAGCCTTTGCTTCTATGGCTAAGTTGCAGTTTACACACAGATCTATTGAAATCATTACAGTGCTCAAGTGAATATTTGTCCCGAAGGCATTCACGGCATTCTGTCTTCACAAGAATGGGATCTTGGGATATATGCATAACGTTATCCCTCTGGGGACGGCTGTCACCCAACGTGGAGGCCCAAAAGTCTTGTGAGAGTCTCTGAGTTATGTATGTTATACAAATCAACTTTATGAGTATACTGCAGCTGTGTGAGACTGGTTAAGTATGCCCTCCCAGACAAAATCTGTACAAATAAATCTTTTTCTAGCCACAAAACAAGGCCCGTGGCACTAAAAATATATACACCGTGAGGCTGCTGTTTACATTGAAGTCACTCGCTGGGTCCACTCATTTAGTCACACTATATAAAAATGCAGTGACACATGGTCAAACGCAAAGAGTGTGTTGCAGCACCAGTAGTTAAGGGACTGGTGGGTTTGATGTTTTGGAATCACGATGAAAGAACGGTTTTCCTCGAATGGAGCTCGGCTTAATTAGCAACAAAATTCCACTTGTCTCTCCTTAATTAGGCCAGGAATAGGCCTCAGTTGCATGGCGTGATGCCGTGTGATGTAAGGGTGTGGCTGCCGCTCGGTGGTTTTATTACCTCACTATTTGTCAGAGAAATGCCCATCTTTTATGTTTGAATTAGGCATACTGAATATACATCACACTGTGATTCATCAGTGTGAGAACTGATGAAAAGAATTCCATAAACAGCAGCAGGAGCTTCCCTTTTAACACCAACAAAGTCTAACAAATAAATGTATTAACCCTGATGTTTTCCTTTTATCTAACAGAAAATTTAAAGTCATAAGAGCCAGAGAGAGCAGAAATCAGGCCCGTCCACCTTTGTTCTTGGAACATTCTTGCATTGTGTCTTTAGTGACAGTCCTCTGGTTGTAACTCTGCAGACTCCTAAGATCAGACGGTGCTCAATGGTTTCTAGGGAACACTGTGGAGCGAACACACTGAATCTTGGCAAAGATCGCGAGAAAGCAATTAAACGTGGAGGAGGACAAAAAGGCTATCAGTGGAGAAAATGACCATCCTGGCCTTCTGATCAAAACCATGCATCAAGATTTATCATCGGTATAAACCAGACATGAGACTGTAAACTGAAAAGAGAGAGAAGTGAAATGAGGAAAAAAGAGGAAAAATTATGGGTCTGCAGAGACACGAATGTTGCATGTGATTTCATCTTCTCACTCTAAGAATGACAGAGAATGAGCTGTATGCTTGTAATAATTTGTTACACACGTGTCTACAGATGAACGCCGTGGAGCATTATAATGCACACAACACAGTCATATTGTGTGTATGCAAGTATTTGGGTGCGCATGAGCATGTGTTTTCTCGTGAGTGTGTAGCTGCTTTGAACTCACAGTCATCTCTTGGCTTTGACCCAGGAGCTCCAGCTGCCGTTGGATCTCTTGGAGCCGCCTCTCCTGCCCTCTCCTCTCCTTTATATCCTGCAGGACCTTCTCTCCTGGCTGCGGGTCCCCATCGCACTTCCAACTAACCTCCGAGCCAAGGCCCTGATACACAACAGACATGAGAGGTTCTCACGGGGGGAAGAAACACCTCATCTCCCGTGGGTGCTCTCCTAGAGTTGTGCTCGCGGCTTCTGGCTGTCACTTGGAAGCATTTAAATGGTGATAAAAGCACATAGCAGTTCACCACAATTAATTCCTGTGAAAGCTTTCCATACTCCTACAGACAAGGAGTAAAACCCGGAACTCATTACAAAGACCTGAAAAAGTCCAAACAGGGGTCAAACATGAATCACCCGTTTGTGGCATCCACGTGCACTGACACATGAACCCCACTCTCATCCAAAACAAACCCTGAAAATGGGTCAGGAGGAAATAGGAGTCACGCTTGGAGGATTATCAACAGATAGCTGATAAGTGGGAGGTCTGTCTTTCCTGACCAAAGCGTGCACCATTCTCTTTGTATCGTGCACAGAGACCGAAAGAGAGCCTCTTTAAAGCCACTGAATATATGTCAGATTCTTTGTAAATCATAAGTCTGTCATCCTACATCAGCATCAGTATTTGAAAAACAGTTGGCACTTAAAAAAAGAAAAAGAAAAGAGCCCGCCTCTTACGCCTTCATAAGTAATAATGCAAACATGAAAAATGCTGTAGACACTGTCCGGTACGTGACCTCTGCTAGAGTCGCGTTTTAACCTCTAAAAATAAACAGCTTCTCCATAAAAGCATGCAGCTAGGTTTAAAACAAAAATTGTTGGGTCTGTGTGGACGTTGCCAACCGCACGACTGTTTCGCAGTGTTCGTCCAGCGCCGTGTGGTTAAAATCTCTCGGTTAGTCCGGATGGCAGGCGGGCGTGTGTATGATCTAATAACGTTGAAATTGACGGACATTTCATAAAATTGTTGACATCTCAATAGGGACTCGCATACACCGAAATAGTAGGTTGGTGAAGACAGGGAGGCCCAGAAGAAATTATGAACTTAAACACTGAGCTACTAAATCTGTTATGACACATTTATGGTGGGATGTAATCTTAGTTTAAGCCGGGGTAGGAGGGGGTGCTCGCTAAAGCTGAATTAATGCCTCTTCCCTTGTCAATAAGCCAAACAGACATGCCTATTCAGCTAATATTGTGCATTGCATTTACACAGATTTTTTGGAAATTAGTGATATGACTGCACTTTAATACTCAAGACTTGGCAAAAGCGAATATCTCCTGAATGTTCCAAAGTGTGTGTGGCCTCACCTAGCCGTGCCCTCTGTGTCCTTATAAGGAAATAATGACAGCTTCTATCTGAAGTCTCTTTTAAGTGGTTGTCACTAGAGCCCTTTGGTTCAGACTCAGTCATCCTAGACTACAAAAGCGAGGACCACGATGGGATCAGACTCCTGTCACGCACCAGAGTGAGAGATACAGCATTCCAACCAGGAAAAATAAAAATTAAAGTCTAGCTTTACCCTCATCATCACACCACTAAATGCATGTTGCTAAAAAAAGCCCAAATCTTTGGGAGAAACAGTTTATTTAATTTGGAAACGACAGCTGTCCTACTTTTTACTATAGGACTGCAAACATGCAGGGCACAGCTGCCATACAGGCTGCAAACTTCAAAACTGTCTGCGAAAGTTTAACAATAAAATAAGCCATTACTGGCCAGTTCAAGTGACTTGCTACAGATTTTCAAACTTAACCAACACCCTCTGACTAAATTAACACCCTATAAAATACTTACTTTGTATTCAAGGCACAGCACGAAGGTTCTGTTTTGTGGAACCTCCTGATCTGCTGTGTCCTTTATGAGAGAAGCTTGCTTGTTCTCCCGCAGTCCAAAGACATGTTTAAGGCAGCTGGTGATCTAAAATGGCTATAGGTGTGAATGTGACGTGAATGACGAGTGTCTCGTTGTCTTGTGTTGTCCCTGTGATGAGCTGGTTACCTGTCTAGGGTGTACTTTACCTCTCACCCTCTGACAGATAGGATGGGCATCTCCACACAAAAGATTATCTTTTAAACTCTTCTAATCTGTCCATTGGTCAAGGATCTTCTCTCATGGTAACAGCTAACAGAAAACAGATGATAGAAGATAATCTAGGATGTTTACGTAGTTTGTTTCACACTGTGAGTATTAATAATACTAAGTGTTAATAAAAACTCCAGTTCCTTGACTGGCCACTCGAGCTCAGCTGAAAAATGAGACTATACA